TAAAAGCGTAATATGCTAATTAGACCAGACATCCTTCTGAACGACCTTCTGAACGAAGCCCGGGCTGCGAGGGAAGCCCAGGTCCCAGGTGCCAGAGGGAAACCGGTGCCAGCAGCTGGGGGAAGGAAGGCCTACTCTTGCACCAATTTTGTGCATTGGGCCTCTAGTAAACTTTAAAGAGATATAATAAACAGTTCATAATGGCTGTTCCGAGGCAAAAAAGTAAAATAAAGAGTGGTGCCTCAAGCTTGCTCATTTATCATTCAGTCAGGTTACCCCATCCCCATCAGGTAATATGATGGCACTCCCTAATGGTCTCCCTGGTCTACACTTGCCTCTCTATAATATTTTCATTACATCCTTTAAAAACATCACCTTTGTAATCACTTCCCTGCTCTCAGCCCTCAACAGCTGCCCAGCATGCCGAGAATAACATTCAGAGCCCTTACCACGACCACGACCCATGGGGCTGTCTGTGACCCCCATTCGCACATATGCGTCCTTGCTCACTTCCCTCCAGACACAACCACTTCCTTGCAGTTCCTCTAACATGTTGCCACCTGAAGGCCTTTGACTTTGCTGCTCTCTCTGCTTTTAATTTTCCTGGCCCAATAGTCCTCTTCATTCAGATCTCTATTCAAGTACCCTTCCCAGAATACCCAGTCTTAGTAGATGACTCACCCATCACCCTCTGTCTTCTTAACCAGCTTTTCTTCACACTATTCCTCACTCTGCAACTATTTTTATTGTCTCTCCCCCCCATAAGAGTATAAGTTCCATGGAAGAGCAGCCTTTTTTCTGTTTCATTTACAATCTTATTCTTCGTGCCTACAAAATTGCCTGCAAATATAGAAAGCAATCAGTAATTATGTGTTGGACCCACGAGCCCTTGAATTTTTTGTTAGATATTAAATTTCTTGAAGATAGTAAATTATCTTTTCATCTTTGTAGCCCCATCAACTGGCACAGTTCTCAACACTTAGTAGTGCTTAACAATTTTTACAAAATGTTGTATGAGTAAATCCAGAGGAAACTCAGATTGATAGAAGGAAAACTGCATGTGGATGATGTGAGGAAAGAGCAAATGGTTTGCATTGATGAGTAGGAAATTCTTTTTACATTTAAAAATAGTTGGTATGGCTTTAGGGTGCCTCCCACTCTAGAATAATCATCTCCAAGTGAAGCTGCCAAAAAGTTAGTCCTAATAATAGGAAGTATCTAATAAAATGTAATGTCTTTTATTACCATACATACTCCTTTTAAATAATTTACTTATTGTGAAGATAAAGGAAGCAATGGTCTCCTTTTCTAGTGGTGTATTAAGTGTTTTTAGGTTCTAAGTCCTGATTAATCTGCCAAACAATAGGCCTGACTAATCTTCCAAGCAAAACACCTCAGTCTGAGCATGCAGATAATTTTGTATCTTGTCATTTCAGTCTCCCCTAATAAACCATGACTCAGGCTTTGGAGTTATGGATCCCATGTGTCCAATGATTAAAAGAACAGCATTTGACCAGGCTTATAGTGTCATTCATGTTTTCTCTGTATTGTTTTCATTCCATTGCTCCCATCAAGTGATTATGCACCGGCTTAGCATCATAAATTAGTTTGGAGAAGGATGTTAAACAAATAACTTTGAATTTTCCAGGATGAACTTAACTTGTAGAAATGTAAACAAAGGAAATATAGAAGAAAACTAATTTCCTAGGCACAATTTACCGTAAAAACTACTTGTGTACACATGACACCCTCAACAGCTGCTAAGCCACATGCAAATAAACAATAAGTTCCTAGCCCCGTTTTAATATTCAGGAAGTGCTTCATTTGCAAGATGACAAGTGAGGAGGTGGATGGGGCTGGGGCAGGGCTGGAACCATATTGCCTAAGCCACAATGGGGGTGCAGAATGCTTTGCCAGCCAGCACCTATGGTGAACCGAAACTGGTACTCAGATGCCAACATGCCTGCCCAGGCACTGACGAAGGGCTACCAGGACATTGCCACGCAGTTCATCTTCAACCTGGACATTGACGCGATCCTGGGTGGAGGCTGCAAGTATACATTTCCCAAGGGGACCACAGATCTTGAATACCCTGGTGATGCCAGACAGCCCAGAGTCAGGCTGGACAGACGGAACCTGGGTCAGGAGTGGCAGGCCAAGCACCAGGGTGCCGGGTATGTGTGGAACCGAAGGGTGCTCATTCAGGCATCACAGGATCCCTCTGTAACACATCTCTTGGATCTCTCTGAGTCGGGGGACATGAAGTATGAGGTCCACTGAAACCCAAGCTGGACCCAACCCTGATGGAGATGACAGAGGCAGCCTGAGTCTGCTGGGCCTAAACCCCTGTGGCCTCTACTTGTTCCTGGAGGGGGAGCCCACATCGGCCATGGCCATCATGAAAGCAGAGCTCACCTGGCACTGACTGAGACCATCAGTTTCTTTTCCTCCCTCCCTCCCTCTCTCCCTCC